TAATTGGAAATCCAGGAGAACAACTGGCACCACTACAACCCCACACAAGCACAGCACAACATACAGCAAGTACTACCTGTGTCTTCATGGTGTGCCCTGCTTTGCTTCACCATCTGATTTCTATGTTGCTATTGCAAATGAAATTAACCCAAACCCCAAAGCAATGGATAACACTTTCCAGTCCGGTTTTTTAGCTAACTATGCTACCTACAGGATAAGATTAAAAATATTCCATTATATATTTTTTCTTTTATATATTTTTTCCTGGAAAAGTATAAAAATTAGGCATCAAAACAGGTCAAATACTTACATATATCTTTTTGATGTGCTCATGTGATAGGAGAGCAGATTGATAAAGGACAGAAGAAATGCTAAATATGCACCATGACAAACAGTGAAAAATTAAGTATTGTAACTAACATTAATTACACTCTAGTAAGATGAATAGGCTGCTCATCATTAATGAGAATGTACACCTTTGTCTAAGTTTCACATCTACCTGTGATAAATGTGCTAACGGCGATAGAATACATCATAGTAACATTTGAATTAACAGCACACTAATAGATTGACATACAAGTATGAATAAAGCATTTAATCATAAACATTATACCACACCCAACAGCAAATTTTCTTTTTTGCATATATATCAAGTAAAATGTATAAACATTTATTTCAGTTTATGGTGAGATAATCTAATGGTGTTACCTCATACTATCCTAATATTCGTAATCCAGACTCTTTGATACTTACGTGTTGGCTTTTGGGAGACATTCAGGCAGTTTAATTTAACAGTAAGGGGAATTTCTGAACAGAAAGGGTGGGGCTTGATCTCGGGACAAACTACCCACTGACTCTTGCCCATGTGGCAGGGATGGAATTTTCAAACAATCTTCATAATGGATTGGCTCCAATGCTTATGAAAGGATTACTTAATTCACTTGTAATGAAAACTGAAGCAGGTCTGCTAGCATCGGCTCTTATCTATATCTTCAGTAGCCTTCTCTCCTGTGTTTCCTGGTTTTTCTGGCCGGGAGGCAGAGGGCTGATGGAGCCAGGCATGCAGCAGGAATGGCCAGCACTGCCTCCTGTGCCTGCAGAACCCAGAGCTGCAGGCAGCTGGGGCCTCCCCATTTTGGAGGAGTTGGGATGTGCAGATGCCATGGCCGTGCCATGCTTCCACAGCAGCCCTAAGGGGAAGGTCCCCCAGGCGACAATGCCAGACCACTGTCCCTGTTCACCCACCGCCCTCTGAGCAGCTCCTGAGGCCCCTGAGCGTGGCAGCCTGTCCTGTGTCCCTGGGAGGGCCGCCTGGCAGCGTGCCTGCACTCCCTAATGCCACCACTGCGAAGGCCCNAAACGGCCGCGCTCTGCTGCAGGACCCAGCCGGGGCTGGGCTGACACTCAGCTGAGGAGCTGGGCAAGGAAGCTGGGAGGGCAGCTTGGTTCCCTGTTCTCCCGGGCACAAGACACTGAGGTGCCCTGAGGGAGCAGCGTGGGTGTCTGGCACAGAGCAGAGTGCACAGTAATGGCTGGCACAAGGATCCTTCCTCGCTCAGGGGCAAGGCTGCAAGCACTACTGGCAAGGGAGAGGGCAGGATTTCACTGCCCAGCTTCTCTCATGCACTGCTCCCAAAGTCTGCACTTCAATGAAGAGCTTGACAGGCAGAGATGAGAAAGCAGAGGGAAGAACAGGAGAAATCTGGCTCAGTAGCAGCAAGCAGAGCTCTGCTACAAGTAAGACTAACAAATGGTGTAAAGACAACTGTAATTCACAGAACAAACATTGTGAATTAGTTAAACATTGCAAGAAGGAATTGCTTTAGCCTAATAGGTTCCTGAAGATCATTCAAACAGTGCAAGCTCATCAGTGTATTTTTTAAGCAATTAAGCAGATGGTTTAAAATACTTTAATTACTGCCAGGGCTCACCTAGGCTGCACAGTAGATGCCACTGGACTTGTGTAGTACCTGATGCAAAATGCTGATATAAAGTACAGAGAGATATTATACAAGCAATGTATGAATACTCAAGCTCAATGAATCCATCTGCAAGGACCACAAAAAGGCCCTGCAGGTCAACAAGCCTAGGGACACAAGTGAGAAATCATGTTTGCTGTCATTCTTGTAAAACGTACTGTGCCAAGACACCTCGTGCTGGTGATCTGCTGGGGGAAAGCAAAGCAGCATTCCGGGGGAAGGAAGTCCCCACATGCAGAACAAGGCACACACACGTGGTCAGAGCACTTAAGTCTGGCTTTTCCCTTCTGTCTAAACTGACAGATCTCTCCAGGAGAACTGGAGGTCTTGAAAACTAGCGTAGGGATTTCAAACTGTTTGTATGTTTTATACTGTTCTACTGCCACACCAGCACACAAGCCAGCAAGATAATACAGTATGACTGCACTGGTAGCTGCCATACTCACATTGAAAGCATATATTTTCTTCTTTGTTGCACTAAATGGTACATTAACTTGCTTTCCTTTGCATTCCAGCTGGCAACTTATTGATTAGGGGAACACTTCTTGGCTTCTCCCTCCTATGTAATAATCTTTATAATTTCACATTTCTAAATGTTAAAAGCACACTAATGCAAGTGGGAAGAGTTTCCTCTGCTATTTCATATACTTAAGGAGAAGATGTTATCGATTCATATGCTTTACTCTAGAAGTGCTTTGCAAGGGCAATAAGTATTATTATTTTCATTTTAGCAGAAGGAGAATGGCACACAGATTGCCCAAGGTCACCCTGCAGATCAGTTAGAAAACCAGGATTAAATTCAGACCTTTTGGGTCTCTGTGCAGAGACTCTTCTGCTGCGCTATTTTTGGAAGCCTCCATATGAAGCATGCCCATGATACACAACCCATTTTCACAGTCTAAAAGTAATTTATGACATTCAAAATATTTTTTCTCTAGTATTTTTAATGGCTATAACTATGAAGTGAGTTCTTTGCAATAGCAGAAGAGGAGCTGAAAGAAGCAAAACCTTAAAATTTTGAGCTGAAGAAATTTACACTGGTTTAACTCCTACCTCCTGGACTCTAATGATGTTAACTCAAGCACTGTGTGCAGCAGCCAGCGAAATTTTCTTGCACAAATTTTGAGTTGAACTCTGGGTCATGGAGACAATCTTCTTTTACAATAACTGCAGAAATGTATTCCTTATCAAAATTAATGCATTTTTTGCAGAAATCCATCTACCTAAGGAAAAAAAAAAGGAAATGGTGCATGGAGATAGTAATCAGGTAACAAAATTTTAAACTTGTGGAAATTTCAGTGTGGTTCAAAAAATACCAGCTTGATAAATTGTCAGTATCAGAAATAGTAAAAAATTATTCAGAACTGGTTTTCATATGTATTTTGATTATTAGTTTGGATGCTTCTCTTGACACTGAATCTGCTCTTCTTTCCAAACCTTCCCTTTACTGAAGCTTATTGTTACCTGCAAATGCAAGTCATTCTTTACTAATAAATTGTCTCCCACTCTTTTTCCCTATCTCCCTTACATAAACACAGTATCCTGGGGTTTAACTAGTAAAATCTAAAAATTAAATTAGTGGGGGGAAAATTAAATAAGTGATCTTACACACAAAGAAAGCAAAATATAGTCACATATTTCATGATTTTCAATTTTTGTTACAAATAAAAAAAACTACTGGCCTGTTCTCTGATCTCAACAAGTCTTCTGAGTAATCTAGCAATTTGCTAACAACAGCCTCAACAGAGAAAAGATAACAGAAAATTTTCACTCTACATGCAAACAATGCAAATACTGTACACCTCAATAATGTATTTTGCAATGACTGTTTTAAATGTCTGTGATCCTGGAGATATTCTGGTTGTTCCAGCATACGAGAAACAATCTCTGGACACAAACAGTAATTAATTGGACTAATAGCTGATTTACTAACATGAACTCTACTTAAAACTTGCAGTAATTATTTTTTGTTATTCACCAGGGACTGTTGCCTTTCAGAAATCGATCAGTAAGAAATCAAAATGACAAAATTATTTTTAATATATTACTTTGCAGAAGCACAACTTTTCAGTGTTTTATCTTAATGAGATTGGTGGGTACATGGGTCAATCATTAACCCAATTTTAAGCAACAGCTTGATTTCTCTTACTTTCATCATTGATCAATAGATCAAACAGTCTTTCAAGCAGTGGCATGAATAATCCCTAGGATAGAACTGATTGCTAAACTGTTTATGAACAGTAACTTGGGATAAACTAAAACTCCACCTATGCAGTAGTCAAGATATCATCTTCATACACAGGGTTTTCTGGCTTGCTTTGTATTCCTCCATGGGACTTCTGCAGAAAAATACCTGTGCAACGCTGCACTGACACTGCCTTAAAGCATATGGGAAGATAGGCGGCTGAAACCCTATACTCTTTTGGGGCATTCAGCAGTTTTATGGTCAGCTATGACTGTCAATTATTTTACTTTTTAATTTGTTACCTTGTATGGCTATCAACAATTTTCTGGTCACTCCTTTTAATTGAAGACTGAGGTTATATTCTCAAATATATAGATAGTGACATCTGGACATTTTGATACCTAAATATGTTGCCCCACACCCCTGTCTCAAACACTTCTAGAGCAGTAAGGACCAATATCACAAGCCTTTGATTTTCACTGCCTCAAGGAAGACAGGGAAATCTGTGAAGTGTGTATTAGTATCCACCTCATAGCTGTCTAACACGTTTTTGTAATTCCTCTGTCCTTTACAACACCATCAAATTAAAGAGGCAGAGCTGGTATGTTTATATCCTAAATCAGAACAGAATCAGAAATTTTGCAGGCTATTATGACGGGAAGTGTGTCTTTTTCCTGATGTGTTTTGAACTCTTCCTATTTCTACTTTTCAATCATTAAAGTTTAGATAACATGGGCTAGGCAGTGCAGAGCAGGAGAAAAGAGCAGACTGGAGGCTGGAGCACAGCCCTGACACTGAGAGTCTGCTATGCTGTGATTGCAGTATTGCTGCTGAGAGCTGTCACATCAGCACTCAGGGAAAATGTAACCTCACCTACCTGAAGGCATCCAGAGCATCGTCCTGCCGTGCTCTCAGCCAAAGCCATGGCTAGGGTTGGTGCAGTTACACTGCTCCTGGCAATTAGAAAAGAAATCCACGATATTTTATCTCCCATGAAAGCTTTTGAAAATGTTTGCACATTCCCTTTCAGGGATGCGGGGCACAAAGGAAGTGTTTTATCTTCTAGGAAATTTAGTATCTATATGTTAAAGCTCTATTTAGCATTAATGAAAAATTATTTTTCTCTCCATAACTAGCAGCCATTGGTATATAGCAACTAAAGGCTTTAAAACCTTACTCTCTATTCTGTATCTCATCACAGCTATTAAAGAAAGACTGAGAATTGGAACCTTATGCTAAGTAGGTAGGATTCTATCTACCTGTGCCACTTTACCAAGCAAGGCTTCAACTTCAAAATGTGCTGGTGCTTAACTGAGCCTCAAACTTGCCAAAGCTGCAAGGAAGGCTGTGTTGAAACCAAATCTTTGGTGCCTGACACTATCAGGTACATGAAATTCATCAGCATGATAAGTGTTCCTGCATGCAGTATCAATAGCCATCTTTCTTACATGATACAAAATTAATCCTTCACTTGAAGCAACTTTCTCTTGGTCACTATATCTTATTTCTTGGTGACAAATGGACAGGATGTGCTACAGAGGAATTCAGCACAGAGGAGATGAGACAACATAAACAGACTCGCTGTAAACCTCCCACTGCTCACCTCTGCAGCATTTCAGCACTGCTGTCACCAGCTGCTCAGATGAATGATAAGAGTTAGTGCTTCCCAAGCCTCAAACAAAGCAAACAGGAGCTTTTTTCACTTTTCACACGTGGGTATCATTTGGAATTGGAGGCCCCCAAGCTATGGCAAGAAGAGGGCACAGTGTTGGGTACGCACTGGCACCTCTCTGAATCCCTGCTAAAGGTACATTAGAGCCAGTGAGGCTGAGCACTGAGTTCTCAGCCTGTGGTTGCCTGACACAGTCCAGTCCAAACAAGCCTGATAATGACAGCTCTCTAAAGAGCTGTCACAGCATCACATTAATAGTACACATTAGACTGAAATTTCTGAAGCTTCTTTGGAAAAAGATTTTCTCTGGCACCCATCTGAGGAATCTGGTTTTTTGACATACATCTTGGAGCCTTTATACCTCCTAAAAACATACTGACATTTAAGGGCTGTATTCTTTGGCAATATTTAAATATGTCACATTTTACAGAAATAAGATGGTAAAGGTGCTTGCAATTCACTTGGGAACAATTTTTGAATTTGACAAAATCCTGCTATTTCTGTGATCTTTGATATTTTCTTGAAATAGCACTAGGAAACCTATGTCTAGCAATAAAACCTTATTTAGTTGGACTGTTCAAATAAATCACATTTCTTAAATGTGCTCACAACATTTTTTTCAATTACCTTCTCCCCAAATATATTTGAGATTTTCCAGCCTCAGATTTTCCCCCACAGAGACAGATACAAGGCTCCACAGTGCTGCATCACACCGGTTATGATTTGAGTAGGTTCAGGAAAGTTCCCAAGTCCATCAGGTTTACCTAAAAAGCTGACAAGATTACAAAGCTCTGTTGTAAAAAGTATAGATCCAGAACTTCCAAGTGAGACAAAAAAAAAAAAATCTGATCATTCTACCACAGAGCAAGAAAGAGAGATACATTACTACATTTAAAATACTTTAAGCAGCATTTTCTGCATTAAGAACACAGATTTAGCAAGGTCATCTTTAGACTCTTGTTGCTGTTTCTAACTTTTGCCTGACTAGTAACAACCTGGAAAATATCACACTTCCGTTTTCACACCCACTGCACTCATGCTGCATGGCAAAAAATTGTTAGAAACAAATGGATTCAGAGCCCAGTGAAACCAATTTACAACCTAGTCCAGCACAGGAAACTCCTCAATTTCAAACTCACTTACACAGGTGCAAATGACAGCCTATTTAACTCTTAATTTAAATGTCTTATTAAATCTTATTTATTAAAGACTTACTAAATATACTATACTTCTAGCTCTGAAGGATACCTTTTCTATATTAAAGATTTTTGAGTAGTCTATGCAGTTAAATAGAAAAATAATTTTGACATCTTAAAATCTAAGTATCATCATTCTAGGAAAAATGCAGGCATACTAAGTGTCCTTAACAAATAGGATGAATTGATGTATATCTGTAAATGAGCAGGTTACTTGCTAATGCAAAAATGTGAGTGGTATGTGAAATCTGTAACACACTGGCTTCTCTAATATTTTGCATTTCTTTCTTCCATGAACACCCCATGAATATGCAGCCCGAAAGGACAGAGCAGTGTTATGAGGATGGCTGTCAATACTGGCAGCAGGATTGCTCACAAATGCCTGGCATTTCAATCACAGGCAAGGCATGCACTGGACAGAGGGAACCAATGGGAATTGATTCCCAACTGGATGCTGTGCCAAATCACTTGAATTTCTGCCCAGTGGCAATTGTGCAATAGCTGGAAGTTTGGATGCACATCCCTCATTGTGACTATGGTCATACTAAAAAGGGTGAATTAAATCAATACAAAGCTGCTTTCAGTTGGATGTGAGGGCCACAGGAATGTGTTCCAGTTCAAAGCAGGGGAGCAGACAGTGACACTTGTTACTAAACAGTGGCTGGCAAACACGGCACAAAGAATAGACCTGAGGCAGCAGCCTCCGTGTTGATGGGATATTTATCACTGAGGGAGGAAATCAAGAATGTACCATTTTCAAGATTCCTTGTCTTTTTTTTTGCAGCAAAGGCAGAACTGGGGGAAGGGTGTGAGGGGACACAGCACCACAGTGCAGAGAAGCTGGATGCTCTGTTCTCTGCTTTACCATTAAGGGAAAGAGCGTACACATTGAGGGTATAGAATCTTCTGTAAATCAGACCAAAGAAACAGATTTTTTCCATATGATGTTACTTTAAAATTGCTTACCAGGAGCTTTATTTGTGGTACAAAGCTGAGGCCCTGTCCCTGACTTCATACCTCTGAAACAGGGGCAGAGTTGCTGTTGTGATCACTTCTGTCAGTCATGGAGGAAGACAGCACATTATCTTGTTCCAAAGTTCAGCCTTAGAAAATAAAAATATATCCACAGGTATTCATATAGCAGAAATTCCTGATAAAATGCGCCTACTCCAAATATCACCTGAAGCCTGTAGCCAGGCTGGCTTTGAATTTGGAGTTACTCACTATTACACCTGTTCTGAGCAGCCATCATCTCCCAGAAAACAGCCATGGAACAAAGAGGATGAAAGCACTGGTCCTGCAACTCCCCTCCCAGGTGGATACAGCTTGAGCTATACCAGCATTAATGAATAAATCACCACCTATACATGAGTATGTATGTGTGGATGTAAATATTATTATGTAGGCTTATATATACTCTGGTCTATTTATATTTCTGTCACACAAGACATCAGCTCAGTTCCATTTTATGTGGATGTTTGCCCTGGGTTTGGCTGGGGCAGAATTAATTTTCTTACTAACAGCTGGTACAGCAGTGTGTTTTGGATTTACTGTAGAATTCTTGTTGACAACACTCTGATGTTTTGGTTGCTAAGTAATGCTTCCCCTAAGTCAAGGACTTTTTGGTGGCTCTGCTCTGCTGGGGGAGCATGGTCGGGGCAGGTCAAAGAGATATTCCATGAATGATCAGAGGGACATTCCATGGCACACATTGTTATGGACAGTGCATAAACATGGGGAGAGGGATGTGAGGGCCTGATCACTGCTGGAGATGGGCTGGCTCTGGGCAGGTGGGGAGCCAGTGTATTGGGCACCACTTGCATTTCTGGGGGTTTTTCCTCTGTCTTTCTCTCTTTTATTATTATATTTTAAACTATTTAAATGGTTAAACTATTCTTATCTCAACCCACAGATTTTACCTTTCATTCTGATTCCCCTCCCCATTCTGCCATGGAAGGCAGGAGGGGAGGGAAGGGGATGAGTGAGTGGCTGCATAGAACTTAATTGTGGACCTGAGTTAAACTGTGACAATGTAGATAGACAGATGTAAGTTCTGTTCTTCACTGTCACCTGTGATGACTTTTCTTTTACCAAGCTTTTCTATGTTTTGTCAATCTGTGCCTTGGTGTCTTTGTTTCTCAGATGAAGTTCTCTCTCTCAAACAGCAAGCTTAAACCTCAGCTCTTCCACCTAAATTATGGAAGAGAATTGGTAATTAAGTTTTAACAAGATTTAAATGATATTAAAACCAGACAGTTAAAAGGAGACACTGCCTTGGGCTTTGTTGTAAATTTGTATAATTATTTTTAGTTCTCTGGAGAATGCATGATTATGTTTCTGTATTTATAAAAATACTGCCCTGGAGGCATGAAAATGAATTTTATAGTCCACTGATTTGCATATTAATGTCAGCCTTACGGTGTAAAATGTATATTTTAGCAAATAAATGTCCATAACAATTATCAAAATTTCCAAAGAATTTTATAATATATTTGACCTGGATTAATTTTTTTTAAAGTAAAGACAAAATAAGAAAGCGAATATAGCACAATGATAAAGGTATTGGAGAAGAATGAACCAGATGAACTAAACAAAACAAGAATGGATTTTAAACTATGAATTATAATAGATTTGGTAAATAAGTATTAAGTCCTAACTCAGATTCTGATCCAAATCTCTTTAAAGATATAGAACTGTATTGTCAGAAAATCTACAGACTCTTGGTCTGCAGATTTTCTGACAATACAGTTCTGTATGTTTGCCTTCCTGCAGAAACATAATCACTGGGAAAATCATTCTCTAGATCAAGTGCCCTTATATACTTTTCAGAAATGACAATAAAGAAAATCAGGGACAAAATATGGTTGCTACACTCCAAAATCCTAATAAGGAGCTGGAACTGTAATGTTCAAGTCTTGTATCACCAGCAGAGCAAAAGTTATGGCTTTATGGTGGAAGATATGGAGGTAAAGCCATCTCTTCCATGCTGCTATGTACAGGAAAATATAGTTAGGTTAAGGTTTGTTTTTCTCATCTCTAAATCTGCCTTGCAAAATCCTGATAAATTCACGCTTGCTCTAATTCCTTATTTGTCTTGCATTTCATAATTTTCAAGAGGCATTTTGAAAGACAGAAATCCTGGGCCTGAAGTGCCAAGTAAAGCTATAGGCTTTTGGAGCTTGTCTAGACAATACAGAATAACAGTAACAATATCGCACTAGTGCAGAATCCAGCCTTGTTACATATATGTAGACAAAATTCTTACCAGCATTCAGTCAAAAGACAATGAACTCAATGTGAGATTTCTTTGTGCATGGATGGAAAAATTGCCATCATAGTTAATAGTAATCCATTTTGTTATCAAGATAAATCCATTGGCCTTGCAGTTTATCTCCCCATGGAACTAATGTATTGTCAGCTGAAATAATGTGTTATTATCACTACAATAATTATCATTGTAATAATCTTAAACAATTATTTGGATTAAAAACCTGTCATATTGTCCAAGTTTATAAGGAGAGCTAAATACAAGTTTTCTGATTTTTCCTCACAGAGAGTAGAGATGCTTGTTGTGTGCCAGAAACTGTAAGAGAAAGTGCCATCTTAGTGTCTAATAGTAGCAGATAAGGTGCATTTTACAAAAATGATCAAATGCCAGTCAACTGCTGGCTCAGGGAAACACTTGTTAGGCCATAAATGAGCTGATTGCATGTTCAGAACTATGATTTCCATAAAGTCTCATTCAAGGAGATATTAATAGTCATTACTTAAATGTGACAAAATGCTGTCAGAGAGGGAACATACACTTGACATTCTCCAGCAGTCCCTTGCAAACATGACTCCTAATATACAAACTTTTACCCCATATACATTAGCCAGAATATTTAGAGGTAAAGCAAAAATACTTAAAAAATAATAATTTAAAAAAGCCAAGACTGAGCAAAATGTTTCTGTGATACTCCCATGTTGATGCCAATCATGTATATTATCTTGGGAATGAAACAAGGGAGTCTGAAGAAGCAAGCACAGAATATTATTGTTTTTCTTTTTTTTTTAATCAAGAAATCTTTGGTAGGTTACTGAGATCTTCTGCACTTGAAATTTTGTACCCACAACTGCAGGAATTGCAGACATGATTTTACAGAACATGTCCTTGCAAAGTGCTAATCATTGGCTTTGAGATGAATGGCAGGCAAACCCCAGCTCCTTGGAGTACCAGAGATAGAAGAGCACCTTAAGTAGTGGCAATGGATCAGACATGAGCACACAATCTCTACCTGATCCTGTATGGAGTCTGTCAGACAAGGCTCCTCTTCAATAATCTCTGATCAAATCTGAGCTGGCAAAGCTCTAGGAGTATGGACCTTTCTATATATGAGACTGGCAATATTTTTGACTCAGAATCACATGCCACAAAACCATATTTAATGTCTTGTAGTCATTAATTATAATATTTGACTACGAACAGAAAAGGGTACTTATTGTTAGCAAAATAAAATTACTTTTTTATATGCAGTACAAACCATCCATCAATAAAAAGCAAAATTTGAGGGTAGGACCTATCTTCAAAGGTTTGCCAAAGATACAATGATCCTTATATATGCAAAATTATAAGCAATACTGCATTTGACAAACAAGAGATATTTAAAAGAGATAGCACAGACAGGTAGCTCAGGATTTTAAAATATTATCTTCCAGTTTTTATGTTTTCCCATGGCTGGCCTGGGTTTAAAAATAAATTCAGAGGAAATACTTTTACACATACACAATCTGCTTCATCAGTGAGATAAAGTTTTGAAGGCTAATGTTCAGAATTGCTATCTGTTCCAATAATTGTCTTTTAATTGATGTTGATAATTAGGGATCAATTACTGTTTGGCCTGACTCTGTGTGTGTGGCGGCCAAAAGATAAACAAAGCAGGGATGAGGAGATGGCCAAAAGAGCCTTTCTTGCCTTCAGTCAATCTGCAGGAAAAGGCAATCACAACTGCAGTGCTCTGGGCCAGCCCATTCTGTCCCTTTTGGATACAATACTCCCAAGAAAAGGGCAAAGGGGCCATTCCTGTCTGTGCCATTGTCATGGATGAGCTTAGTTCACTGAAAGAGTAGCATCTGAGTGGGTCTGACAGTACCCCAAGATGAGGAGAAATCCCAAATATTTGAGCTAATATAATTTTGCCCTATCCCTTGTTCTAGATCCTTGGATTGTGAACTGTTAGGTGTAGGAAGAGTGAAGGTAAAACTGCTGCTAGGGTTGTCTTTGGTCTGCACAAATCCAGCACCACAGAGAGGCACTGGAAATCAGAGAACAGTGTGTAGCTGTGTAGCCACATAACTAATGGAATACTATAGAAAGCTGATTTATTACCAACATCTTGTTCCAGGAGTTTGCAGCCCTGTTTCATACTTTGAATGCCTCATTATACAGAGTCTGCACCTCTGGACTCTTCCTTTTCTGGGTGCTGTCATTTTGAAGTAATACATTACCAGTTTCCATCAGCTGGTGATGCATTACAAGAGCACATCAGAAGAACAGCTGGCTCAGTCTCTCAATCCTTAGAGTCCAGCAATGCTGACTGTCATGATATATTACATGAACTCTTCAGTCTATCATTGCAATACATCAAAACAAGACACTGGTCTGAAGGTGTATTACTCAAAGAAAGGCAAAGCTGAATTCTCCTGTCCAGGAGAAGGGTTCCAGTTTAATTATGGAACAGAAGTTACAGTACACTGCTCAGAGAAGGTTTGCTAGCTTCAAATTCTTAGTGCATTGCTAAAACACATTATTCATTCATATAATTTGGACTATAGGAGAAGGTCACATTGCTACTCACTTAGGAGACAATCTCAACAAACAGAGTTCTGTAAAAACACTGCAATGTGCTCTGTATAAGAGAGGCTGTGCATATAAGGGAGTCATGCAGGATTAGAGTTCAACTGTAAGCACCAATTCCTATTCTTTTCATTTCTTGATGGAAATCCCAAACAAGACTCTCATATTTGAGAGTGGTAACAGAGCATCCCACCAGTGGGTTCTTGCTGCTCCTTCATTTGGTGGCACTCTCAGCAGGCTCCAGGTGATGTTGAGAGTCTGCAGAAAAGCAGCAGCAGAAAATAGGGCCTCAGGCATTGTCAGGGAAAGAGCTGGAGCTGAAAAAAATGAAAAAAAGAGAAAGAAAAAAAGAGAAGAAAGTGAGACAGTAATCTGCAAACAAATATAAAAGATTATTTAAGTCAAGCCTTTTTATCAGAGTTGAATTGACTGTGGCTACTTACATCAGACTTCACTTTAATGGATGAGCATGAATCTCCCATTGATCAGCACTGCAAACTTGACGCAGGAATATCTTGGGCTGTTAAACTGAAGACAAACCTGTTTCCTCCTCTTGAGTCAGAAATGGTGGCTACATTTCTCTCTTCATTTAACCAGGGCTCCTATTTTACCCAAAACACAGGAAATGGTCCCAAAATGTTCCCTCTGGATTGGGTTCACACAGACAGTTGGAGTATGAACCACATTTTTCACCTGCAAACCCATGGAAGACAGACAGGATATGATATGAAGCACAACCAGTTAGAACTAAGGCAGTGAAAAGTTCACTTGCCTGTAATGCACAAGTATTATTTCCAGCAATTTTCCAAAGACTCAGCTGTCCAGCTTCTTTGTTATGTGGCTCAGGATAGCTCCTTCAGTGTATGCTACTGACTTCACATTGCAGTTTTATCGGTGTTGCTGCAATATTAACCTCCATGGTCCCTTCTCCTGCCTGCCATGCTGCTATATGCTCAGTAATGCCCTGAGAATTGAATACTTTCCTGATGAAAATTCCTGAAACTTTACCGAAATCCCTTTCTGTCCAGTTTCTCTAACTCAAAGTAAACTTTGGTGGGTATGATTTTGGTAAACATACTAAAACCAGTGTGTAATATGGTATTATTTTAATCTGTGTCTTCTTTCCTTTCCCTGCTATACTTTGTTGCTCTAGCATGCAATATTTTAGTTGGAAAATACTTACAAAAATCATCTAGTAGATCTAAATATAGAAAAAGATTTTTTGAGTGAGAGTTACTGCACCTGAATGTACATTACTAGCAGAATAAAACCCCCAGAATTTAACTTCATGGTGAATTAGGAATCTGAGGGCCATACATCTTTCTGCTCATATTTCTGTTCAGTAGAAGCAGCAAATACCTAATGTTCTTAGGAGGTAATTGAGAACATAAGGTGATCTGAGATGAGATGAGGAGAATGGACAGCTGTTTGTTTAGATAGCACAGCATATTATAAGAATCATGAATCAAAGACGTACCTGAGAATGAACATTTCACCAATATGTTACATTAATCAGAACAATTTTAGCTCCTTGTTAATGTTTACAAGATCTAAACAGTCCTTTATTTACAAAAGAGATGGTTCACACTGATATGTGTGACAAGGGCCCCTGAATAAAACATGCAACAAGAACAGATTAAAAATGTGATCAGTAATGAGAATACACAGGGCTGTTACACTCACTTTTGTAAACCTTGAAAAGAATTCAGCATGTCCTAGGTTTAGTTGTGATTGTGGCTGATGTGTCCTTTGCTTCAGTATCTTGCTGTATTGCTGTTGTGGGAAGGTGTGAGAACAAAAAGGACAATAGAGACACAGGATGACACGTAAACACCGGTAACAAAATAGCAGAAAGGAAAGGAATTGATTAATGGATGATATCCCATAAGGATGTCTTGATGAGGGGACAGGTGAGACAGCTGCTGAGATAGAGTGTCTCTGTAAAGAAATCTTCTTTCACCAGCTTTCTGGTTTTTAAAATATTTAAGTCTTACAGAATTCATCTTTTCAGTAAAATGTGAAAGAGCAGATCAATGACTGTCTGAGGCATGTACCCTCTTTGTCCCACGATGTGGGAACTACTGTGACCTCCCAAGTTTTCCTTACTGACACAGTGAATCCATCTGTCCCAGATAAGAACATGGATATTGCACAGGAATATAGCAAAGTAAGTACACTGTAAGAATCAGAAATGCTGTGCTGATAACTCTGGCCATTTTCCAGGGTCACTTGCCTGGTACTGAAAGCCGAGTAATCAGAAAATAAGAATAAGGTACTGTTTAAATACATCTTTCAAGGAAAATGAGCAGATTAAGAATTTATGGTCTGGTAGCACTTGGAGTATGTATATTTCTTCAGTGGGTACATACTGTGTAACTGAGCTGGTAAATACTGAGTAGGGTAACTACTTATTTACCAAAAGGGCTGGATTTAGCAGAAGCAAAGCAGACTCATGGGTTCATGGTGACCTGATCCAGTTGAAAACATTCCTGCTTGTTGCAGGGGAGCTGCATTAGATGATCTTTAAAGATCTCTTCCAACTTAAACCATTCTGCCGCGCTGTGACTCAGGCCCACTGATCCCAGGCCACACATTGCCCGGTGGAAGCCTGACACGGAGCTACAGAGCACAGCTGGGTGGAAGCAGCCTTTGGACACTGACCCTCCCCCTGTCCTTGTGCTCTACCCTACAAATCCTGAAGGGAATGATACGTGAAAAACAACAGTTGCTGAAAAGAATATCACACAGACAGGAAAGGCAAAGTTCTACATTGGGTCACTTCAGCTTTCCTTAGACAAGACACAAAGAGACAGGAGAGTTTTTGGAAGAATAAATTCATTGCTCTAGTGGATACTACCAAAGTAAGACCTGAGTGGGTGTTTATTGGCATCTATGGAAAAAATATTGTTCAAATATATTCTTGTGTTTACACTCAACAGCATTTTGAACCTGAAAAAAGTGCACCAGCTAATCTGTGAATCCCATGGAAGATGACATATACCCATGAATTATACAATAAGCTCCTGTATTCTGTTACAATAGCCAAAGCTAGGCAGCCAGTTAATGACCTCAAGAGACTTGACAAAATACTTTGTTTTTTCTTACAATCTTCTGCCTGTTTATTCCAATTGTCTTCTGTGACTTCAGGGCACATGAAAGTGGCTACTTTCCTAAAATGGTACATAATACTGCAAGCTTTCTAGAACATAAAAATTTTCTGCTTCCAAGCACCATGTCCCTACCAACACAGGGATAAAATGGTGGTTACTGTATGTACCTTTTCATATATAAAGTATAAATAAATCCATTTCAGTAAACTGAATGAACTCATTTGTCAGCCCAGGGCACACTCACACTATAGGTAATTTTTAAGATGCACAAAGAGTTCAAAGAATCAAACCCCAAAAATGCTCATGCCCATAAATCCTTATTAGCCATTGAATTCAAGGCAAAAATGAACAAATAATGATTGAATGACTTTTGTACCTTCCTTCTTCAAGGAACTCAGAGCAGAAAACCCTACAGAGAAGATCACTATTTTTTAATGTCATCTAGGAATCTACTTGAAGTTAGTGTAGTGCTTGATTCTGGCACTCCCTGCAATATCAGTGCTTTATCGTCAATTAGTATTTGGACAGCAGAGTTGCTAAGCTGTTCTGCTTCTATGAAAATAATTTCTTGTGTTGACTACACTTATTCCTTTCCTCTTCATTTCTATATTATAGATAATCTTAAGCTTGTCAGGGGTATTATTAATCACTTATTGTTACCTTTTTCAATATAACTTGGAGACCAACATTCCCCAGTCACAAGTATCAACATATTAAGTACTGTTCAGACATTTGAACATAATATACTGTTTCTAAGTCCTCCGTTGTATTACTAGTAGGATAATTATTACAGCAAATGATAAAATACTGCAAAATTGTTTTCTCCCCCCCTTAATAACATAAATAAAAGAAGCAATTAATTTCCTACAATAAAAACAGGCAATACAATAACGTACAAATGTGGAGTTTCTTCATTATTGCATCAAATTGCAAAACGGAAACATATAATTTCAAAAGGCTCATAAGCAAAAATGGAAACACAGCTGATGTTGCGTCAGCATGTAGCACAAAAATGTGAAGCTTGCACAGCTTACAGCTAGTCTCCTCAAATGAAGCAGTTAACATTTCTAAATGAAATACATGACACACAGAAGCTTCTTTTTTTTTTTGAGTCTCTACTTCCAGAATTTAAGGCAATTTTGCAGAATATTACCCTCCATCAAATACTATAACCTTATAACATCACCAGTTATTTTAAAACCTGTCTATCACACAGACCTACATCTGTAGCTTTATTGACACATCTTGTGACAAATGGCAATAATGTTTTCAAATGGAATCAATGTACTTCCAAACTGATACACCTTCCTCTACACCCCAGATATTCATCAGATGTGTTTTTATACCTCTTTCTGCAGTGGTATTTTGGTTTGTTTGGTTTTTGGTTGCTGAGAAAAGGTAACACATTTTCTTTGACATCTCATGCAATTTTACAAGTATTCAGGGCACATTCCCTGCTTTGCATGGAAAATGTATTTGCACAGTTGTCAGAATGATGGACAAGGGGAGAATGATAGGAAAGAGCACTGATCTTTGCTTGTTATTACATACAATAGCCCAGTAGGAATCATGATGTGTTGGTGAGACAAACTGTGTCCCATTCTGGAACATATTAAGTTTGTCTCCAGGACACACATGACTTCACTAGGGTGTCTAACCTCATTCATAATAGATGCTAATCTTTTCAGGGCTGACTGATGACAGCACTTCCTGCCCTTCACGGAATTAGAGCTGGGTTTTATCAAAGGACTCAAACTGCCTGCTAATTAGACTAATTCCCTTCATCATGAATTATTTATTTCCATTGGTAACCGACCACTGTGACATTAATGGGTTCTGCTCAACTTAGTTTCATACTAATATACACTATAAGTTAAATGTTTAAAAACTCCTGATACTTCACTCCAGGTCAAGTGTATCTTCATGTAACTCTTGATGTTTTCAATAAAGTTTTGGTAATTAAAGACAGAATAAAGTGCTCATTGCTAAGGAAAAAAAAAAAAAAAAAGGAAAAAGAAAATAAAGCATAATTTAAAAATTTTGAAATCATGTTGTTGATTTGTTGGTTTTTTCCACCCAAATGTGAAACAATATTCACTTACTTAAGACTGATAATACTCACTCTAGTCTCTAAGAGACCCTCTATTGCACTGAGGGTCTCAAGGCAATTCACTGAAACAGATCTATATCCTCAGCCAGAACATGTCGTGCCTCTGTATTCAAAATTCTCACTCAGTTGAAGGAGTTTTTTTATGTTTAATATGAAAAATATGTTTTGTGCTTAGGTAGCACATATCAAATATACAAGCACAAAAAAGAAAACCTCATGGACAGCAGCACTGCAGGGTGGAGAAGGTCAAAGGCAGCGTGGCCAACACTGAGATGAACCTGGGGAAAACATAAAGCACCATTCTGGGATGTCTTAGCAGCAGGATCTGAGTAGTGTAACAGAGGTCATCTATGCAGTACGTACAAGGTCTCAGCAAGAGAACTGATGGCTGGTTTTTGGCATCACTGTTCACAAGTTAAATTAACAACAGAGAAAATCCATGGAAGAGCAACAAAATATTGGAGCAATTTAGA